TTCGAGAAAAAAAAAATAAATTTATTTGGTCACAGAAGGACATACAATCAAGTATAGTTTTTGTTGCCTTGGTGATGGGTCCAGTGCCAAGCTGGCACTTATCGTCGGCGTACGACACGTGTCAGGTCCATTAGGGGGGACTTGGTACGGGTTGTGTCATGCAGAGATTCAGATTTGTTCATGGTGAAGATAAAGGGGAATTAAGAGAAAATCAAACTCAACAAGCAGCTCAACTTATGGAAATACCTAGCATCATCGTATCAGCCCTCATTTTTTTAAGATAGGCTAAATTATGGAAGTATGCTTCTCCATTGTTTCCATGTAGGCTTTAAGGTTTATCTCTGAGTTGGATTTATGGGATTGGTTATTCAGGTGGGTTCTTTTTCATGTGAAATTTAGCCAAATTGAATACAAGGGATTTTGGGGATAAAAGTATAGATAAGTAAACTTTCAACTAAAAAGGGATAAATTTTCATGTAAAATTTAGCCAAAAATTTTTTATTGAAATAATGTTGCAATTTTTTGCATGAAGAGAAGATGAAAAAGAAAGAATTTGATGCTCTTCCATGGGGAAAGACTGGATAGGATTCTCTCACTTCGATCCCATTTTAGGTGAGTTTCAATTTGAATTCTAATTTCTGTGCAAATCTTGAGTGATGAAATGAATTTTAATACGGTGTTGTTAATCCATCAGAAGTCTGGTGAATATTGAAGCAGATAGTATCACTAGAATTTGATTGTATAGGCATGTAGATAACTTATGGGTGGATCTCATTTCATGTAATGTAAGGGTGCACCTTACGATTAAGCATCTTAATTAGGAAAATTTGAATCCTCTACACTGAGGGTGGTAAATCCACATGGAATTTTCAAGCATATTTCAAATGCATTTTATAAATGAAATGAATGGAATGTGGGTATAAAAAATCCTCTCAAAATAAATCTCATTCAATGCTCTTCTTGAAACACTTATGAAGAATGGAAAGGGTAAAGATATTTATAGAGTTCAAAAACAAAATACTCTGTCGAACCGGACAACGAACTGGACGTTCGCCTTTGGATCCGGACGACCAAAATAGTCGTTATGTATATGAAATCTAACTGTCAAAATCCGACCGTTGTATCAACTGGACATTCACATAGACGAATTAGACGTCCGCATGCTTAGATCGAACATAAGATCGTGACGGCTGATTTTCCCATTTTGACCCCATTTAATCCGATATAAATCAATTTTACTTTTGATCAAAATATTTTATGCAAGTGATAATCAAAATAGCTTTTAGTGCACAAAGTAATTTTTTAGTTTTTATCATTCATTAATAAAAATCAAAGTATTAGTACATTTACATTTGAACTAAAAATGGTGTTTGATCTTACTTCGAAATTTGGCTTTTAGACTTTCATCTTGATCTTTCATTGACGTTTGACTCTTAAATTCTTGATCTTGATTTTTCTTTGACGTTTATCTTTTAATATCTTTTGACGATGAATCGATTAATTTATTATTGAATGATTTGAAAATTATAATCACTTTAAACTCAATTGTTAGTAAACAATATTAACTTGTTTGTTATAATCAAAACTTTAAAATTATAATCAACCATAGATCAACAAATTGAAGGAATAATAAAGATACTTGTACACGACAAGCATATATATATATACTAGGTGCAAGCAACGTGCAATGCACGTTTGCGTAATTTATATTTAATAGTTTTGTGTAAGAATTAATTTGTTATTAATAAAGATGTAATTTTTTTGGTTAATTAAATAATTAATGATGTAATGTTTATGTAATAAATAAATAATTAGATGTATGATTTTGATGTCGTGATGTAAGTTGGTGAGAT